CTAAAATTTTACATTCATCCATGAGCATTGTGAATGATGCAATTTAGGATTCCGAATATTTGTATTTGTTGTTGATGTGTAGTGCACAGAACACTTTCAGGGTGGAGATGTATTACATGAAAGAGAAGAAATGACCATAACATACGTAATGTACCCTTGTTCTATATTAGACAAACGAACTACATCGACGACTCCTGAAGATGTCTTGTGCGACCGGGAACGAAACGTCTACAAGATATCTATTTCTATCAGGTATTAAAACTGAATTACAAGAAACTTTCATAACAAATATATATCTAGATCAAAAACTCAATCATTTAAAATAAGAGGAGATAGTCAAATTTCAAACGCTTCTAAATCGGACTGAGATTGGATCACTAAAATGTGAAATGACACACTTGCTTCGGTTGGACATAAAATTGTGGATGATGGTAATAGGTATCTATATGTCTTTAGTACGTAACAAATTGCACATTAATGCCACAATAATAGAAAAGGCTTTCTTTAATATTTTCTTATAACAAAAGTAAAATAGAAGTAGTGCATCATTACTTAATATGGGTTGGACACATACCTTTTTCTGTTTCTTATTAGGTACCACATCTCAAAAACATTTTACTTTTTCTGCAGCGCCCATATTTCACGGCCATGTTTCACACCCATACTCCAAAAATACACCCTTAATAAACATTTCGAATTAAGGAATGAAAATATATATAAAGGTAGAGACAGTTTTGAAAGTTCCTTGAAAAATGAAATCAGTGTAGAGGTAAAATACTTCAATGTGCGTCTGAACGTCATCAACTTTTTGTATTTTCTTGGTTCGTGTATAAAACAGTAGACTACGTATGCCTATCTGCTATCTACTTTATATTTCAACATCAAATGTGCCCAGGAAATGGGTCAAGAAACCTTTTCTCTATAACTCAAGACGCATACACACACACGGAGTCTACAATTGAAAAAAACTTACAAAAAGGAATGTTACAACGTTTAAAGAATCTCTGGCGGCTACACTAGCGGTGATTTTTTACCTTACCACCCAACGTAGTCAAACTTTCTACTCCTTTAAAAAATCATATTCAAATGTCTACTAAAATTGTGCCATTGTCATTCACAACTAATAGTTTCTTTTTTAGAACCCAGAAATTTCTTGTTCCTGGTTTAGTAAGAAAATTAAATACTAACATGTTTGTACGGCCAAGTACGAATTGGGAATCCGTACCCGTAGGGATGCAAATTAGTACGTCCATCTCGGGAATCGTATAACTACAATATTGCAACTAAAAAAATAATACTCTACGATGTAATTAAAAAACTTAAAGAATAATAAGGCGCCAGGTATAAGTAGGATACAGGCGGAAATTATAAAACATGCAGGACAAGAGGTTAGAAATCCTATGTTTAAGTTAGTTAATCACATTTACGAGATGGGAAAAGTCCCAGAGGATTACAAACGGAACGTGGTGGTAACCATACCTAAAAAAAGAGCCGCGGATAGATGGAAGACATTTAGAACAATTAGCTTAACTTCCCATGCGTCAAAAAAGTAGAATTGTATAGAGGAGGATGCAAAAAAGAGCGGAAGAACTATTAGGGGAAAAATTTGAGTTTCAAGAATCTGGGTTGTTCTAGTTTTAGGGAAATGCGAAGATTAGCTCAGGATAAGAAGTCCTAGGACTGACAACCTTGAAATGATATGATGATGATGATGTAATTAAAAATTTACGGTTTTCAGATTATTCCTTTTACTTGTGTTATAAGACATTGATTCTTGCCAAATTTCATGATTTTCGGTTAACTGGAAGTATCATATATATATATATAAATTTTTTGAATCCCTTGTGAATTTCAAAATATGCGGCATAAACGGTCGTATCTTGATTGCATTGACTTTTTTAACAACTCCAAGATATTGCAGACATGAGTATTTAATATCAATTTCAACTTGATACCTTCACGCATTTCTGTGAAAGAGGGACCGACAGGCAGATGAACAACGACAAATAATTGAGGTACAAAAACCTTTTTATAAGTTATATGAAACAGTAAAAATACAAATAACAAAAGTAGATGAATTTAGGTAAATTTCAATCGAAATTTTACCTTTTAAAGGGATTGTAGAGGCATTAAACTGGTCACATTTATTACAGCAAGATCAGAATTTTCTAGAAGATATCATTTTGGGCTACGGCTGTGGATCAAAAACGACCCCGTTAGTCAACGAAAAGATAAATGACCATTGAATAAAGGCTGTGGGACTCGAAATAAATTTTGGGAAATTAATTTTCAACCACGTTTTACAATAAGGACCGAAAGAGAGAATGAATGGCGTTCGACCCTCGACATTATGTGAATTACGCAACCACTTTTGCGACTAGAATAATAAAGAAAAACACAAATCGATTGTTTTTAACGAGCAAATAATTTTTTTAAAGCCCGCGCGAATGGACCTTTTATAATGAAGTTTTGTAAATTCCCAGTGGGTTGGCATGCATGCATATGTAAAAAGCTCCCTATAAACTTAATGTTTCACGCATCAGGCGTAGGTACGCTCGTAGCTCGCAATATAAAACGCTTTTCGACGTAAAAATGAACATTTCAAACTTTACAGCGTACACTAATTAGTTCCTCGTACAAACCAGACAAACATAAACGAAACCGTAGGTACCACACACTATGAACTCGCATACTTGAAAAACTGTGAATTCAACATATATATATGTACTTCTTCAAAATAACGGTTCTGTTTATTATTACGCTATGTATGTATGTATGTATGTATGTATACATAACCATTCGTCCGCGTTATACCAAGCCATTCATGCCATGCCTATACAGAATACACCACTCTCCTACTGGTTACTATTTTTCCATTGAAATCACGGAAAAAATTATGCATTTCCCAGTAGACTGTCGCATATTTTTTAGTACATTCATGCAATGAATACGGGTCTGGTAGTATAGAAATCATTATTTTGTTAAAAAACCGGGTCATTAAAACAACACATACAATCTAGATTTTAATAAGCAAGACTGTTATTGTAAGTTTTCATCTTAACTTTCAGCTATATTTAGAAATACGGTTTCTATAAAAAGCTTCCGATGTAGTTTTTAGTAATGATACCTAATACTTAGTTATACTAGCGATGTGACTTTCAGTTTGACCGGCGCAAAGTAGAAAAGAACAGCACTAGGCCAGAAAAGGAAGAAGACAACTCTCGGCCAAACTCTTAACCGATGAGGAGCGTATAATCCGTACAGTACTGCACGGAAAAATTGACCATTTTATCCACTACAATTGCATTGCTCAAATGTGCTGTTATTGGTATCAATTACTACTGAAAATATCAACGAGATGTTTATTTATATTTAAAGACATATTAAAGGCTTTAACGCTTGTTTTCGACTCGCACTACTATTCATGATTGAAGAGGCAGGTAGGTACTGTATGAAAAAGTATGTTTAATGAACAAGAGTCGAGAGTGTAATGAGCTTTTTTCTCCCTACCAACGATTTTGCCAGCGCGCATCCAAGACACTGGAAGGGGCACATCGCTAGAGAAAGTAAATGAAGTATAGTAATACAGTCTTTAGGAATCTCCGAAAATGTAAACGCTTATTTATGAAATTAATCGGATCAACAGGTAAATTAGTCTTACATAATTAAGTCAATCTAATAGACTCTAAATTAAACCTACCAACCGCCGTTTTTACTCAATTCGATGCTAATCTACGGATTTCCCAAAAACTAGAACAGCCCCCCTTTACTTCTGTTTCTGCTTCTAGTATGCCTCTGGTTAACTTTTCACGTCTCAAAAGATGTCCGACCATCCTATCTATATATATTTTTCCTTATTAACTTATTTAGCACCCTTGTTCTCTTACTCTTTCTAATACCATTTCAGTCCATGCACATCATAAACGCTTTTTTTATTTCTCGTGGAGAAAGCAGTCCATGTTTTCACACTCATTCAAAGTCCTATTCCAGACATACACATTTAACAATCCTTTTCGAATTTGTAAATTAAAAGCACAGAATTATTTATTTTTGTTAAAGAGACTTGAACTTGCGCTGTTTTTTGTTTTATGCCTCTATTGCCTTTTCCATTTCGAGTTACTTTGTACCCAATTCAGCATTAGTTCTAACCCTACTTTCGGCTGCCTTATATACCAATATTTTCAAATTGAAATTCCTAGCGGTTAATATTAAATATTAATTTGAAAATTAACCAGATCAACAGGTAAATCAGTCATGTATAATTGAGTCAATTTAGACTCTAAATTAAAACTAAAGCGCGCTCAGTCTGCATTTACTGATGTTAGTATTTCAAAGGCAAAACAAAGAATATCTTTTTATGGCTAACAACTTTTCTTGTGAATCTCAATAAACTGTTCAGGTATTGATAACGTTCCTTGAGGTATAAATAACACCTGCTCTTAAGTCCAATAGAGAACAAGCTCCATAAACTGTATAATTTTTCATTCCTCGCACTTCATCAATCACAGAATGTCAAAAATACTTATTTACTTACGAAGCAGCATTCAAGAATGGACTTTACTCTTTATTTGATCAAAATATGTATGGAACGTACCAATAAGTTTATATAAGGTTGCAGGAAATTCGTATTAAAATAATATCAAAACTACCTATGACGTGTGCTGATGAGATCTAAAAACTTCGAAATTGCAATGTAGACATATAGACCAGTAACTTTAGATTTAAAAAGGACTTCCATTTTTATCGTTAATCGGTTAAAAAAAATGGCTACTAATTTTTTAAAACATGAAAACCTAATTTTACTGGACTACTAATACATCTAGTGATTCCGATAAATTCGAGAAAAGTACGAAAATAATAAAAAGTAGTAGGTATTGGCAATTGCATTTATATGTGCTCTCTGTTGTATGTAATTTATTTCGGCAATATAGACGGCTCTATAGGTCCACTGATTTAGTTCATTAATTCTCGATCATTAATTCCCATTTCTCGTATTTCAGGACGGTATTCCAATGGAGGGTGGAACGATTTCAGTGAGTGCCGACGGCAACACAACTACAAGCACTCTTTGGTTCACACCACAAGCATCAGACGATGGTCTGGTGCTGTCGTGTCGGGCGGCGAATCAAATGGTGCCCCACAGCGAACTGAGAGACTCCTGGATGCTCAAAGTCCTTTACCCTCCAAAGATAATATTGCACCTGGGACATGGCCTGCAACCTTCGAGCATTCGTGAAGGGGTCGACGTTTACTTTGAGTGCCAAATCATCGCCAATCCCAAGGTATATATTACTATAAAAAAACAATTTTGTGGTTTTATGAAACCACGATCCAAGTGAAACTTGAAACTTAACTGTAAATTTTCGGAAAATTATTCTATTTAGATGCGCGTCTACTTGAGAACCTCCTCCTTTTTTTTCGTCGGTTAAAAATTGTAAATCTTTTACTTTCTTTATTATTTATTACTGGAAGAATAAATCTACTAACCCGTATGCCTACCACAAGGAAAAGAAAGATATCCTGATATTTATCTTTATCTGCTAGCTGCAGGTAACGAAAACTGCTGGTAGTTTATAAAATTTGTGCATCTATCTCTTTCTCTACTCTCTTAAATTAAATCAGTAGAATTTGTACTGATTTTTTCAGTAATTCGGATAGCAACTGACAAAACAGTAATTTTTGACGTAAATTTAAAAGTCGCATAAGGGAGATGCATGCGTCCAGCATATTGTTTCTGATAACCAACAAAAGGCCTCACGTTTGTGTTAACCGGTAAGTGTTCAAATAACAAATTATTTCACAGTGTATAATAAACATTATTATGCAATTATATACTTCAATTTACCTGATTTATTACATAGCAAATATATGTAAATTGAAATAATATGAACTAAATCCAGTATAGGTTATAACCTAAAACAATCAGTACATGTTCAATAATGAAATATTAAAATTATTGATTTATTCAGTATAACAGTCACTGTTGTTTTCAGTGCTTTTAAAAATTACTGCTTGACTCAATAGATTTTTACTGTTTTACAGTCGTATGATTGGCACTGTGAGTCAGTCAATTTTCACTGAAAATCAGTCATTTTTCACTGTTTTAATTTAAGAGAGTATTTAAACAGTTTGTAGGGTCGTCAGTCCTAAGACTGGTTGGACACGTACCTCCACTCTTTCCTATCCTAAGCTAAACTTCGCATTTCCCTAAAACTAGAATAGCTCACATGTTTAACTATTTGCGAACAGTAATGTAATCTAGGTCTACCTCTACCCCTCCTAACTCCTGTTTCTGCCTTTAATATGTGTCTGACTAGACCTTCATGCCTGAGAAGGTGTCTTACCAACCTATCTCGCCTATTTTTTATTGACTTCCATAGAGTCTTCTGCTCTCCTATTCTTTCTAATACCTCTTCATTTCTTACCTTTTCTATCCACGTAATCCTCATCATCCGCCTATAACACCATTTATTACTATACTACCGATTACTATAAATCTTAAATAAATTACAATAGCTTTGACAAGAAGACGATAAAATATCATCATCATAAGCACACAGAAATTCACTAAATTATTTAATATTTGTCCAGAATGGATATTCATCTACTAAATCTTGATCTTTGTACACTTATTTGGAATAATGATTCTTCTACGGTTATGTTTACATTAATTTTCTAATAAAAGTCAACCATATTGGAAAACAAACAAAAAGCAATAAATATACTATTTACCCAATCTCCTTTGACTTTCTTGAACTGTAAATGTAAAAATAGATTGCTATTTTTGGACCTACGTTTAATTTACTTAATTAAACAGGTACAAAATGAAATTCTTTACAAAAAAACATTAACTAGAATGAAGTTTATCAAGAATCACTCTTCAGTATTATGAATACTGACTAATTTTATAAATCTTCGTGTAATTAATGTAACCATTAATGCAAACGTTGTCACACTTCGTTCATCTAACCCAAAACTACACTATCCCCTTCGTAATATACGAACGAACCCTAGGTGGATACAAAAATGATTACGATCTTCACTATGATTATACATATTCCTTGTTGTATTTTTCCACTATCTAGAGTTTAACATTAACGCAATAAATTCTAGTCTCCGCCAAGTTCTTACAAGAGGAAAAAGAATAAAGTAAGCAACTCCTTGTAGCGTAGCGAACGCAACTTACTAGTTTGAAATAATATAGACGTGCCCTCTTAAATCATAGTCACCCTTCAGTCCCATGGGCACATAAAGTAAATTAAATGCAGTTTCACGATTCGAATACAAAAAGCACATTCGCAAAGTAATTCGCGAGTAACAGGCGCACGTTATCTAATTTACCTTTTAATGTGGTACTTTATCAAGAGATGTTAGGGCGTTAATGAGCTAATTAATATCTCTAAAGTTACGTGGCGAACTTCGACAACAATGTTTCAAGCTGCTAAGAACCGTTCCTCAATTAGCGTTATTGACACTGCCGCTAAATAGCTTTCATCTTTATGCCATAATACAAAACCCTTTTACCCCATGGTGATGGCATCTTAGGATGCCCTAAAACGTTTAGAGAAAACAACGTCGAAATGATGATGGAAATGAGTACAAACAAAAGGGCGAAAATTTACCGGGTAGGTACATAGTTTCTTTTAATATTACAAGAATTAAGTAAACTACTGAAATATAAAACCTTCTCTCTCATCAAATTATATATATAGGGTGTCCCAGTTATAATAATTAATATTTATACCACAGATTCCTACGGACATTTGGAACATAAAATGTTATAACACTTTTGACTTTTGAAACAAAATAAAAAATTATAAAATTATAACAGTTTTGATGCCGGCCCTGCACAATCGCAAATTAACTACGATTATCAGCTGATCGTAGAAAAATTCACCTTCAGTTTTTGGGTAATGCTATTGTTTATGTTTGGTATTAAGTTACGGATCAGCCGAAGAAAATGCACCCGCGTTAAGGCCTATTAGACGACTGAACATGTTAGAAAAACTACGTATCTATCACAATTGAAAATCTCATGATCGTAAGCTGAAGTAGACCTAATGTGGTCTATGACGTCGAGTATTGTGCTATTTTAAATAGAAAATAAATTATAACGACTACGGAATAGTTAGAAGCGGTGCACAAACAACCCTCACCACCCAGCGTTTGGTAAAGGTTTTGTAACATAACGTACTAGTATACAAAAACAAATATATGTGTTATGGTTGTAAAAGTTGAGACAAGATGCAGACCTACTTTGACCAATCACATGTGTTAAACTGCTCATTCTGACGTTAGTTTTGCCTAGCAGGGCTCATTAACCCCACGTGGAGTAATACAAGGGTGTGTCCAGAAGGACCAATTTTGGTTATTTTGTTTTCATTAAATGTAAAAAGCTAAATATTGATATAACCTCGTATAATTACACTGCTGGAAGTGACTGGAATAAATACGGGATCTTTGAATTTACTCACCGATGCTCTAATCACTAAGCTATGAGAGATAACTGCATCAACCTCTCGTAGCTTAATGATCAGAGCAAGGTGCGTAAAGCCAAGGGTCCCGAGTTCGATTCCCGGCGAGAGTGTAACAGCAGCGACAAAAATTTTCTCTCATTAATTTGAGATAACTTATAGTGGAAAAAATTGAGAATTAATTTTCAATAAATCAATTAATATTATATACCAATATTTATGATTTCTTTTTATTTGTTATGCATCAAGTACCTATACATACATAAATTGATAACTAGCATTTCAGCTACAGTTTTATTTTCTCATCTATTTCCACCTTCATTTTCTAGCTGAGATAATCGACGGATAATGACCGAAGAAAATTTCAAAGCAAGTGCGACGCTCTCTGGCCGAACGTTTCCGATAATTTATGAGTTAAAAGCACCGTAGCTCATTGTTTTCGCACTCTTTACCTCTCTTCTACATTAGTTTTCCCGCCAGACGTCTAGACGAATTAATTAAAATAATGGAGATAAAACTTCGGTTTTCTCTGTTTATTTTCCCTAAACTTAATTAAATACATTATTTCAAGAAGGACGTGGTTGCACTTTTTTGTACTCTTTTCAGCAACTTCTCGTAAAAACAAAAACGGGATGATAGAATTAACTATACAAACCATGTTTCTAACAACGTTCGGGAAACAGAAGTTTTCGGTACTACATGTCTTGCACTTTCGCCTTTTTTTGTATCTACCTGTATATAGGTACCTTTGGTTGTCAAAAACAAACTTAACATAACCGTTGAATTTAATATGTAAAAATAAATAGAATACTCAAAAGTTGACACACTTAGGTAAAATGTGCTGATGATATCGTTTGGTCCCAAAAAAAATAAATTATTGTAATCGCACGTATCAGACGTCATCACAAGCGACTTATAAATGCTTTGAAAACTATTTGCCCGCATGGTACATTTTGTCGCCCGCATGTTTCAAATGCTCCAATCCAATCTAACATATGTATATTGCTAGTGACAATCTCAGACGATTTCTTCAAGATTCCAACAATTTTAACAATGTGTGGATGGTTCTGACATCAGATAAATAATGTAAAGTAAAGAAGTAATTAAAATATTATTTTCTACTTTTTAGTTTAAGTTTGCACATGCAGGTATAGTCTTGAGGTCGATTTTTTTTTTAAACTATTTTTTAATGTTTGGTTTGATTAAATTTTTTGTTTTTGAGTACCAGACGTATATATTTAAATAGTTTTAAAAAATATATAAAACATGCGTCCCAATAAAATATATCTATGGGTTGCTCTTTTTCTGGGATCCCATCATCAGATCTTCACTTGGTGCCAATGAAACTACCTAGGAAGTATACCCTTTTAAATAAAAAAGAAATTTCTCGAATCGGTCCAGGTGGTTTAAAAAAAATGGTTAATTAGGGCACTCTTCAAAATTTAAACTATTTCAAATTTCAATGGTGTAGCAAAGGGGGGGGGGGCAAGTTGTAAACTATTGTGGTCATACTTTTTTAGTTATTAGAAAGCTATCCCATACACTATGTATAAGTAGCAGCTGCAAATTTTAGGTAGAATTGAAAATTCCACCCTCTCCCTAAGAAAAAATCGTTAGTACGCTTATGACAGCGCTTGTGATAAAACAAAAACAAAAAAGCAGTTTTCAAAGAGGACAATGACTTTTTAACACACCTGGAATGACATTTACCTAGAAGATATTCCGCAAATAGCTCAATTTATCTGCAGTGCATTACTTTATCGATTTCGTATTTTGTAGAGAAATTCGCTACCTGTGTTAGCAATAAA